TTTGGTTACAGTATTGATATCAGTATTTGTATCGGTATTGGTATCAGTATTGGTATTAGTACCAGTAGTGGCGTACACATCATATCCCTTTTGCAATATTTATAAGTTGTATTGTTGTTTGAGTAATGCGCATCACTAATTGAACGCCATTAGTGGTAAACTTGGAGGTTATTTGAATATCTACCCTGTTACTTCTTTGCTACCGTGTTTGTTGTTACCTTAGTTATTTTGCAGAAGATTCACATGGTGTAGTAGATTGCAATCCAACAAATAGTGTTATATCATATGTCTTAAATGATTTCATTTAATCTTGATATCGTGTTTTGTGCGCTTCAAGTTTTCTTCTTTGTAATATTTAACTTAATTTCATATGTTACAACTCTAAATTAAGAGATGAAGTTTATGTTTTTTATTTTCTTCCATTTTGTTTTACTTGAATTGACATTGTTATAAAGAGTTATAAAGAGATAGTCGTTTACATAAGTTTATTTTTCTCATTTTAAAACTGACCTCCGTGCAACGCACGGGTGAAATACTAGTTTATGTTAAATATCGATTAGGGTTTATTAAGAAATCAAATATGGTTTAACAAACAGCCCCTATAATAAAAGTCAAAAAATCATGAAATCATAGTGCATTTGCATTACCGCTTCGAGGCGCTCAGTCCACACACACACACTACACGCACTAACATTTTATTTATACATACACAATTATATATATTATATACACACACGCAAATCTTCGTTCCCCTTCTCTCTCAATCTTCCCTCTATTTAATCACTCTCTCTCTCTCTCTCTCTCTCTCTTCTTTCGCAGAATTTCTCATTCACCCAAGTTTCGCACAGTTGAATTGAAACCAAGCCAATCCACGAAAATCACTACTTTAATTTTTACAGAACGTCGGTATATACATACATACATATATACATATGTATACCGCCATTCAATTGTAATTAGAAGGAAAAAAACACGCGCACGGAAAAATGGAGAAAAGCAGCGGAGGGTTTGTGAGAGCAGATCAGATCGATTTGAAAAGCTTGGACGAGCAGCTCGAGAGGCACTTGAGCAGGGTACGGACTATGGAGAAGAATCCAGAAGATTTCTCCAACACCGCCGCCGCCGCTGCGGCCACCTCAACCGTCGGAAGGCGGAGGCACGAGTGGGAGATTGATCCCTCTAAGTTGATCATTAAGAGCGTGATTGCGCGTGGCACCTTCGGGACAGTCCACCGCGGCGTCTACGACGGCCAGGATGTCGCCGGTGAGTCACCGCTCTGTCTCTCTATCTTCTCTCTCCCCTTTTCCCCCATTTTCCATTTTCAATTTTTTTTATAAAGTTCAAAACTTTATGATCCCTTTTTGACTGCTCTGTTTTGGCATTTTCTAGATTTTCTGCTGATTTGCTTAAGTCACTAGTGCATGCCCCTTTTTTCTTTTTTTTCTATTTTGCCCCTTCCAATTTTTTCTTTTTTTCCCACTATTATTATAATTGTCAAATATTCCTCAACCAAATACTCTGTTTGATGCTAATATTATTAAAAAATAAAAATTAATAAATATATTTGATAAATTTATTTTACTACCACTTTACATGCATTGGATTAAGAAGCAATTATTTAATCTGTCGGGCCAGAGGATTGGGGACCGGGGGCGATGAATTTCGCCTTTTTTTGGTGCAAGAAATAATTATTTAATATAGGATGAAATTATTTTTATCTTTTTATAATATGAATAATCTTGTTGTGTATGTGTAGTTATGCAGTTTATAATATGATGGAATTTATTTTGCAAAGTACTGTTTTTGAATAAGGTTTGATTGATTGATTGATTAATTATTGAAATATATAACATGATCAGATAGTGCCATAAGACTTCGGGGTGAAAATTGGATGGATCGGATCGGTTCGGAATTAACACTTTCGGAAAAAAATCATTTTGTAGGAAGTGAAAACTAAATTCGACTTATGTTCCAAAAAATTCAAAAAAATCGGGAATCGAAATTCCTGAATTTAGAATGAAAGGTTGTTCCAAAGAAATTCATTTTATTAGCTTATAATATATCATATATAATAAAACTGATTTCATGAGTGCAATTCTTAAAAATAAAAAGGAATTTTTTGAAATTAAAATCAGATCGAAAATTGAAATCTCGTAACCAAAAAAAAAAAAAAAATCGGGATTTTTTGGAATTCGGAATGAAATACATTTATCGAAATTGGATTTTTTCGTATCGAAATCGTCGGACGGTTCCATTTCAGTTTCCACCCCTAGTCATAGTGGTAGAGTGTGTTGAGAGCCATTATAATTTGGTCAATCCATTACTAGTTTTATTAGGCCTTTCTGACAAGTCAAACTTTTAATGCTTCACATGCCTCTCTTTATTGGGTAGTGGCAAAGTGTAAAAGATGTGACCTTTTTTGTTTGATACCCTTTTTTCTCCATTAATCCCTTTATCTCTTTATTTATCCAACACTTGTTTTTTTTGCTTTTTATCTTCATTTTTTTCCTGGGGTGGGGGTGGGGTGGGGTGGGGGTGTGTGGACTAGAACAATCAATGCACCCTTATGCAAACCGTGACTTATGGCACAGATTTGTATTGAATTTGAAGGTGACTGCAATAACTTGGGTTGATATTCTGACCTTTCTTGTGATTCAAAAAGTTGCAACTTGTGTCAAAAAAGTTAACTGAGAAGCAGTTGTTTTAACTTATATAGAATCTTGCGATGATACCCTATATTACGGTTTATTCATGTTAACTTAAATGGACGATATTTTGACTCCCAAGTTGGAGTTATTGGCTTCAGTGCATGATTTCGAGTTTAACCGTTGTTCTTGATTGTACTATAATCATAATATAAGCTGTTGAGTAGTTGAGTAATCGTCGATTGGGTCAAAAAAAAAAAGAATAAAATGGTCCGTTTGGCAGGGTGAAAGTAGAAATAAGTGGATTTACCTATATTCCGTATAAGGATAGTTGTCCAATATACTGTGTGTTTATATGTGAGACGAAGGACCATGAGACCATATTAGACTAATGTCATCACAGCCTAAATGGCAGTTGATGAGAACACGTTTGTGCATGGTTCTTGGTTAGAATCGATTAAATATGTGCTCATGGTTAACAATATATCCTGGTTTGCATAATATTTAGACATGTTGATTTGTTTGTTATTGTTTTGCTTATTCGATGTGCCTCAAAATGAAGCAAATTAAGAATTGATAAATGCTAGACGAAGAATTTATCATTTTTGGAAAAGCACGATACTTCGGTTATCTTTATTTTCTAGACATGCCCTATATGTGAATTACGTATTTTCGACCTTGTTTCTGGCAAAGCATCCATGAATTATTTGCAGTTTTCTTCACACACAGTCACGATACGTAAGTTTCTCGCCGAATTTGACATTGCTTTGCCACTTTTTAGTTGTTGTTACCCTATATAATTTAATTAACTATTGTCGAATTTTTGTTGTCCTTGTAACATTTTTGGAAGCTTCCTTTAATTAATCCACAGTTAAACTGCTGGATTGGGGGGAAGAAGGACACAGATCAGAAGCTGAAATAGCGTATCTAAGATCATCCTTTACTCAAGAGGTTATCGTGTGGCATAAACTCGATCATCCTAACGTAACAAAGGTTAGGATCTGTTCTCTAATGCCTCCCATGAGATAAGGTCTAATTACACATAGACCCCCTCGGGTTTCAAAAAATTACACCCCCTTGACTTTTGGTCTCACATTTATGGCTGAACCACTTTTGCAGTTTATCGGAGCAACAATGGGGTCCGCTGAACTTAACATTCAAACCGAAAATGGCCACATAGGCATGCCTAGTAATATATGTTGTGTTGTAGTGGAATATCTTCCGGGAGGTGCCTTGAAATCTTACCTCATCAAGAATCGGAGAAAGAAGCTAGCTTTTAAGGTTGTTCTGCAGATAGCACTTGATCTTGCTAGAGGGTAATTAAACACACATCAGATTTTTTCTGTTTTAACCATAATTAACCTGTTTTTTTTTCACCTGCATTATGGATTTATGTTTTTCTTTTTTGGCTTTGTGCAGACTAAGCTATCTTCATTCGCAGAAAATCGTTCACAGAGATGTTAAAACGGAAAATATGCTTTTAGACAAGACACGAACGGTTAAGATAGCCGATTTCGGTGTTGCTCGTGTTGAGGCCTCGAATCCTAATGACATGACTGGGGAGACTGGCACCCTCGGTTATATGGCTCCCGAGGTACATTCCTTTGAACACGAAAAATATCCTTTATTTATTTTTTGTCAAATTTTTTAAGCTATTTTTCTTGCAAACAGTTCTTCCTTCAAATTTAATATTCTTACCTTAAAATACACTGGATTATCTCTGAATACATTAACCTATTTCTTTTGTTCTATCCTCTTTTAAACTCAAAATCTAGGGAATCTATATATCGTAAAAAAAAAAGTTTTTATTTTTACTTTTTTTCTTAACAAATCAGAGAAGTATAACAAAAGGTTGAGTAAACCAAACACATAAGAAGAAATCAAGCATAGTTATATTAATATCAGTTGCATGTCTAAAAAATCTGCAGGTTCTCAACGGCCACCCTTATAACAGGAAATGCGATGTGTACAGTTTCGGAATCTGTTTATGGGAGATATATTGTTGCGACATGCCATATCCCGATCTCAGCTTCTCCGAGGTGACATCAGCAGTCGTTCGCCAGGTAAGCATTAAAATATACGCCACCTCTCTAAACATGTTGAAAAGTCAGGCCTTCTCTTTGCCAGTTTTACACTAAAAAAAACAACATTATTTATTTATTTTATTTTATTTTATTTGTGTGCAGAATTTGAGGCCCGAAATACCTAGATGCTGCCCGAGCTCACTTGCTAACGTGATGAAGAGATGTTGGGACGCAAATCCTGACAGGAGACCAGAAATGGACGAGGTGGTTACGTTGTTAGAAGCCATCGACACTACGAAAGGTGGAGGGATGATAGCCATTGATCAGCAACAAGGTTGTCTTTGTTTCC